TTTTATTCTACTATAAATAGCTAATCATAAAATAGTGTTGGCGAGTACATTGAACCAGCACCATCCAATGATTACATAATGTGAGTCTCACAAGTAATTAAAATTTTTCTAACACCCACCTTTAAAAAAGTAAAAAGGGGCAAGTTAAAATCACTTCCTTAATATACTGTTTAACCTAATATATCAAAAATAGCATTTCAAAATGTAATTACCATAAAAGCCTATTAATCACATACCTTATGCTCTACTTTCCATACCAAGTCTTTGGAATCTGGTATGTATTTTACACTAACCACATGTCAAATGCTCTAGAGCCACATGTGGCGAGTATCTGCTACACTGAACAGCACAGCTCTAAACCGCTGGTAATTCTGATTCTTATACATGATCTCACTGTTGCAATTGTTAGAATACGAAGTTTAGAGCTCACTGATATAGTAGAAAGGCAGGTGTAATGAAACTAAGTTATGAGTTTCCTCATTGTTAAGTGCCATCGAGTTGGTTCCAACTCTATACAGGGTTTCTGAGGAATGGCTGCTGAGCTCAAACTGCCGACCTTGTGGTTCAAACCAGCTTTGCAGTCCAGCACTTTAACCCACAGCGCCATACCAGGACTCCAAGTCATGATAGGGAACAAGAGAAATTGGGCTCTGGTAGCATAGTGGTTATGAATCGGGCTGCTAACCTCAAGGTCAGCAGTTCGAAACTACCAGCTGCTCCGAGGGAGAAAGATGAGGCTTTCTGTTCCCGTAAAGATTTACAGCCTCGGAAACCCTGTACAGGGTCGCTATGAGTCGGAACCGACTCCACGGCACTTAACAACAACAACAAGTGACCAGCAAAGGAACTCTGGTAGTGGTTACGAGTCAGGCAGCTAATCTCATGGTCAGCAGTTCGAAACTACCAGCTGTTACACAGATGAAAAATGAGGCTTTCTGTTCCCATAAAGCTTTACAGTCTCGGAAATCCTATGCAGTGTCTCTATGAATCAGAACTTACTCAACGGCACGTTACCACCACCTCCACCACCAGTGACCAGCAATGTGGGGTTAGACAATTTCTTTTAACTCTCTGAACCTTAGGATACTCCTGGGTGAAAAAGAGTAAGTTGAGCTAGGTAACTAGTTGATCCATTTGGGATTTTTGCTTTGTTTTTATCCTTCCTCATCCTAATGAGGACAGATACAGTGATTATGAATGGGTAGATAGATGGATGATAGGTAGATAGAAAGGAAGGAAGATGGACAGTCAAGGAAAAAGGAAAAGCAAATATGCTAAGTAGCTAAGTACAAGAGTTAATGTTCTCAATTGAAAAACTCCAAACTGGCCTTTGAGCTTTTCAACAGTCAGGGCAAGGAAACAAGCTTCAGTGAGTTACACTGCTGTCATCCGATAGGAAAATCAATGCTAGTTCCTCAAAGAGGACTTTTTCTTAATCTCCTGACACTTGTTTATAATATTACTGCCTCAAATGAATGTTTTCATAGTAAACACTGTTTGACATAATGGACCTCATAACAAATTAGGAAGCAGAAGTAATATCCCAAAGTTTTTGTAAACTCAAAAGTATCAAATGATACTTCCGAAAGCTAGGAAAGCACTTTATAATGATGAGGTATCATTTGATCTGCATCCATAATGTGAGAGTATCTAAAAAAACTGGTAAATAATAATATAAACCTTAAAAATCTTCTCTAAGTATTGTCTTAGCCAGGCTTTAGTGCTAAACAGCAAACAGATTTGTTATTACTCTCCAATTCTAAGATTTTTTTTGTTTTTCATAATCACATTAGTGCTCATCAAAGAAGACCTCATTCTCTACAAAGAGACAATTGGAAAAATAGTTTCAAATTACTGGTAAGCTTGCAGATCACACCTTCTTTCCTAGATAGATAGATTAGGTAAATAGAGAGTCTGATACATACATGCATACATACATACATACAAAGCTAAAACTTACATAGCTTGGAAGGTCCGGGGTTCAAAATTTCTAATGACTGCACATACATGTTGATTTAACAAACTGTTTTCTCTTAATTCTTTTGTAACAGGTGCTGCCTTGATGTAGAAGAAACAAGTGTCAAAAATGCATATTCTTTTATAGATTCTGATCATTAGAAAACCAAAGACATACATAAAACATGATGCTGAATAAGATATTTTTTTTTTACTAAAAATTTTAAATGCCATGTATTTTGAATAATTTTATTCACTCATTCATTCTTTTGGGTTAGTTATGTATCAGTGTCACACTGATTTATTAAAAATACCTTAAAAACAAAAATAGTTTGACTTTCATATTTGGAACAATTCATAAGTAACTGTTATTTTAAACACCTCATATACAAGCCTTCTAGGAGTCCTGGTGTGGCGCTATAGGATGAGCACTGGACTACTAATCACAAAGTCACTAGTTCCAATTCCCTAGCCACTCTGGAGAAACCCTATATGGAATTGCTGTGAGTCCGAACTGACTCCACGGCACATAACAGCAACAGCAACAGTTCTTTAAAATATATGTTCAGTCACAAAAAGTGAAATTGCATCCTTCTTTGACATTCTGATGGTTGTCACACTTCGTAAGTCAGTTTGGGCCTACAAAATGCACATGGTATTAGTCTCATTTCTGAACCTAAGAAAGTAGTCGCTTCTCAAAATCTAAGTCTCCTTGTTTGTTAATGAGAATAATGCTTACACTTCAGGGTTATAAATATTAATAGAAATAACAACATGAAGCATTCAGCACATTTCTCTTTGACTTTTTCTGTTTTTTTCTCTTTTTTCCTCCTACTCCATCTTTCTCAATATTTTTTTACCTTCTACTCTTTTCTTTTGGTGTAGCGCTGTGGGTTAATAAGCTGGACTGCAAAGTCTATTTGAACAGCAAGATCAGCTGTTCAAGCTCACCAGGCACTCCTTGGAAACCCTATTGAGGGTCACTATGGGTCAGAATGTGGCTAGACAACACTTTACACAACAACAACGACTCTTTTCTCCAAGAGCATGGTGTATCCATAAAATAAGCACTGTACTGTGAACTACAGTGTCAGAGATTCAAGCCCACCAACAGCTCAATGCTCAACAAAAGAAAGATGAGGCTTTCTGCTCCTGCAAAAATTTAAAGCTTTGGAAACCCTATACAAAGTTGGATCAACTTGAAGATACTTAACAACAGCAACTCTTCTCTCAATCCTAGTGTAGTGCTATAGAATAAGCACTGGACTGCTAACTGCAAGGTCTGTAGTTCAAACCCACCAGCCACTCTCAGAAACCCTATACAGGTGGCTATCAGTCAGAATCACAGTGACGGTTATCAGTGACAACACACAGCAATAACAACTTTTCTCTCATTAACATTTTTTATTATCTCTCCCTCTCTCTTCTATTCTTTATCCTACCAAATACACTTGAATAATAAAATAATTGTTGACTGAATGAATGAATAAACACAAAAACAGAAAATCTAATTTTTTAGCATAAAGAATATCAAACTGCTAAAATATGTTCTATTCTGAAAACACTGCTTAGCCCACATCAGTATATTGCTCTTTTCACTGGGTTTCATTGTGATGAGTCATAGTCATAGCTAGACTAAGGCATTGGCTTATATATCCACAAACATACCTTTGTTTGGAAGCATTCAATGGCGTTTTCAGCTTTACAGCAGAGTGGAATTATTTTGTCATAATAAGAAGCTGCATAAAGAATTGTAGGTGCATACAGGAAGGGATGCCTTCTCGCTATCTCATAGATGTATCTGTGAAACATAATTGAGCCATAAGATTTACAAGCACAAAAAAAAAATAGGACTATTAATGTTTGGTCCTAGACTCTAGAACTTGTTTATTGTGTTTCTAAAGGGAAAAGGTTGCATATGGTTTTCTATATGCAATAAAAAATGTCCCTAGCTAAAGATCTTTATGAAAACTAGGTAAAGCAAAAGGTGGATTCTTTTTTCCTCATCAGTACAGACTGGAATGATCCATCTTGGTAGTCTCCATGGCAGAGATGGTCTAAAGGCAGGCTGTCTATACACTAGTATAAGCAACAACATAGGAGAGAGAATTGATTAAGAGTTACAAGTAGCTTTCACAGAGAACTTGGGTTCAAATCCCAGCTGGACAGCATTTTAGCTGTGTAAGTTCAGACAGTTGTAACTTTCTAAGTCTCAGTTTTGTCACTTGCAAAATGGGAAGAAGAATAAAGACGAGGTGGAGGAGCAGGTGCCAAAGTTTTTTTGTGAACATTAATCAAATCAATATTCCAAGTATGCATCTTCATCCTATAACATCTTAAGTGCTCAACAAATGTTAGCCCATGTTTATGTATCATAAACATTCCTGGATCTCTTATTATTATTACCAGGCAATTTATTGAACCCAAAACACCAACTATTTGGCTCTGCAAGAAGTACTTTGGAGCAATACTAGTGTATCTTGGGCAAGCTGAAATGCAGAGTTTAGTTGGGGGTGGTGGAAGCGGGGAGGTAAGCAGGATGCATATAAGTTATTAAAGGAACAGTTGGTAGGTCTGATTTGTTGTCTATATTGAAGCTATCACAAGGAAGAAACAAAACTCACTAAAAGTTGATCCCCTAATTTCCTAGGACATGACCTCAAGCAGATGTGATACCAAACATATGTTTCTTCTTTTAAATGCTTTGTAATGCATCTGTATATTGCAGAAATACTTCAGTCTGCTGGGATTCTGCTCTCTTTGGGGAATTTTCACCTCGGGTGGTACTGTAGGATAACTGTAAGGTCGGAGATTCAAACCCACCAGCTGAGATGAAGCTTTATGTTCCCGTAAAGATTTACAGTCTGGGAAACCCTGTACAGGGTCGCTACAAGTCAGAATTGACCTGATGGCAGTGGGCTTGGATTTGGGGTTTTCATAATGGATACTTACCGGTTCATGAATGTTTCCGGGTTTTCTTCATATGCTTTACAAGCTGTGACAGGTTCTGGAAGTTCAAAGGGTGGAATGGTTGCTGGAGCAGCCTTTTTGTGTGCTAGTAAACAATTATGTCTTTCCTCTTCATTTTTGCTGCAGCAATCTGAAAGTCCATATTTTTCAGAAATTTCTTTCTCATGGCAAATTTCTTCCAGAAAAGCAGATAGCTATAGAAATGTGTTTTTTTGAGAATTAATTTTACTTATAATTAAATAAAGCATATGAAAAGATTTTTAGTAGCCAAACACTGAATTATGGGTTGAGAAAATAGTTCTTTATATAAAATCCAACATATTTCTTTCAACCTGAAGAAAGAGCTTTCTTTAAAGCCTTTCAGAGATAAAATTTTTGTTTTCAAACTTGAATAATATACATGACCATTATTGTTGATAAGTGTTTTTGAGTGGGCTGATTCACAGCAACCCTACATAGGGTTTCTGAGCAGAAAACAAAACCAAAAAAAACCTCCTTTTGACCAGGGAGCATCTGGCAGGCTTGAACCATGAACCTTGTGGTTCACAGTTCAGTGCCTACTGTTTGGAACCAAAAGGTTGGCAGTTAAAACATACCCGGCACCTTAGCGAGAGAAAGATCTGGTGATATGCCATTTTAAAGATTACAGTCTACAAAATACTCTGGGGCAATTCTACTCTGTCGCTTGGTTTACTGTGAGTCTAATTTGACTTGAAGGCACCTAATAATAATTATCGTAAAGGTATTTTTTATATTAAAATAAAATAAACAATAATAACTATTATTTGAGTTTCTACATTGAACAACTCATACTAAATAAAATGTATTTGTTGCTTATCTGAAATTCAAATTTAGCTGGGTACTGTTACTTTAGTTGACTTAGTTTGCTAAATCTCAAATCCTAGTTCTGTAGATGCACCTCACATTTACTGGTGTGTAATGGGCAGTCCTGGTGTGGTGCTGTAGGATAATGCACTGGACTGCAAGGCCAATTTGAATCACAAGGTCGGCAGTTCAAACTCACCAGCCCCTCCTCAAAAACCCTTTACAGGTTACTATTGGCACTTAACAACAACAAAAATATACAGTAAGAGTATACTGTATGAAGTCACTATGGGGGCTAGTTCAAGAGCCAGATTGCCAGGTTTAAATCCTGATTATGCCATTTTCTGCTTCATTTAGAAAGCTACTTAGCCTCTCTGTGCCTCAGTTTCCTCAACTGGAAGATTAGCATCTATCTCCTAGGATTATTGTGAAGATTTTAAAAATTAATGTTTGTAAGCAGAGTTGATAACCTGAAATAAGGCCCGGCCAAAGTCTCTTCTGACTCACTGCTCATTCATTCTAATTTGTCAGTTTCATGAAGGACTTATGGAATATCAATTTCATGAAGGATTGGAATATCAATCCTTAAAATAGTAACTATCTTATTGTCTATGCTTAAAATTTGTTGTTGTTATTACTTGCCATCAAATTGGTTCCAACTCATGGAGAACTTATGTATAAGAGAACGAAACATTGCCCTGTCCTATGCCAGTTTCATGGTTTCAATATGCTTGACACCAAAATGAAACTCAGCTGCTATGATTATATCAGTCTCCCTGACAACCCTGAAATGAAAACTATCATTATTTCTTATCTTATAAAGAAATGGAGATACAAATAAGTTAATTGGTGTACCCAAGACCTCCAAAATAATCTTGTTTCAAGACCTTAGTACCTTGTCCCAATGCATATTGTCTCCTTATAAAAGCTACCTATTGTTTTTCCTTAGGCCGTCTTCTGTCATTCAGAATCCATTGACTTCTCCTCCATTCATATAATAACTCTTCAAAGATTTAAATGTATCTGTCATATCATTCCTTCACTTCTGTAGGCTGTTATAGTTAAGTATAACAGTGCTTCGTTTTATTATTCACTCACTTGGTTTTCTGCGCACTCTGCATGCTGCTCACTGCCAGTGGGTTTCTCAAGTACAGTCAAGACATCTTTTGACATTTTGGTTACTTCCTGATAAGTGGCCTCTTGAACAAACTGGGCAAAAAATATGGTAGCTCTGAAACAAAAATGCATGTGAATGCTTAAGGAAGAAATCTTGTTTTCCTATAGTTTTGCTTATTTGCTTTTTGTTTTCTGGTTATATTGTGAGTAGAATGTTCTATAAAAAAAAAAAAAAAAAAAAAAAAGTTACAGCATACTACTTTAAGTTTCCTGTTGGGAACTTTAGAAATGTGGAATGGAAGCATAGCATTCAAGAAAAAAATCATACCCAATACAATTAACAGAAAATAGAAGACTTCACTTCTGTAAGCAAATAGCGTGATTTGCTTCTAGAATTCAAATAGTCTACAGAATAGGAAATATGGTCATTATCCTATTGGCTTTGTAAAAATTCCTAATATGTATTTATCCATGATTTCTACTATTCAAAATTAGTCTTCAGTTTCTAAGATCTGATCTCATTTATTTGCTCCTCATTTGAATCTATTTTGGATTGACCCATGGAATTTCAAGGAGTCAAGAATTAACCAATAGTTCAACCTTTCCAGAATCATCTCTCTTATAAATAAACTTTGTTGGTGCTCTTCAATTTGCTTTTGTGCTTTTGAAAACATACAGGACTGTCCAATTTTGTCATTTTATTACTTTACTAAAGTTATTATTGATTAGCATATCTAAATTGGATTTATATGAGAAAAACTTACTCAGCTAAATTCGTCTTGTAAGAACATTGGGAAGAATTCAATACAGAAGCTGAAAAGCAAAATAACATCACATGAAAAATTGTTTTCAACTGCCATGAAGCAAGAAATCATTGTTACATGCAAATGTTTGTAATTAAGTTGCAACTATATGATTTCAGAACTGAGGAGACATTACATATCATCTATCAAAACATCTAACTTTTGTACTTAACTAGGAAACAAAACCAACAAGAATAATTGCTAGCAAACCTAGCAGTAAAATTCAGATTTTATCTCTGATTATTTGGTTTTCATCTTTATTATGATACTCTAATTAGCTTGAAAGTCCAATGGTCAAAAATATATTCAGTCATCCTTTTCAAAAGGACTGTACCACAACCTGCTTGTCATGGTGTTTCTTGTTCAGATATTGAAACAATGAGTCATTTCCCTGATATAAAGAATGAAGATATTATTTATTTTACCAAGCTGAGAGAGCTTTATACATGAAGGAGACAGGATTGTGACTTAACACATATTTATACCGTTTGCAAAGTTAATATGTATGTCAATTGAATAATGTATATAAAATTAATTTAGCATGAAGCATTTGAACCATTTCACATAATGCTAAAGTAACAAGTTTAATTTTCATTAAAATATGTCAAGCAATTAAATGCTTTTCCTCAGTGTAGAAAAATAAGTATGAAAGTAAGTCAAGTAATAAATGAATAAATACAGAGTTAAGACCTTTTAAGAATTTTGATATAGAGAAAAGGCCAAAAATACACAAAATAACTTACCTATTCCATATGCATTTTTATGCAGTGTTCTGGATTCAGCAAAATTTAGTAGAGAAATTAGAGAAATGGCTACAATCCACTTCATGGTCATTGGTTAGTTTCTTCTTGTTGTCAATGGTGGAAGAAGAATATGGAAAAATCATATTGCAATTCTTTTATACCTTTCTCAACAAATGTCTGTTAACTAGTAACTTTTGTATTTTATATCAGTAACTTAATTTCTTTAGGTTGCAGTCAGACCATTTGCTAATAATTAACTGCAAGGGGGTTAGTTGTATTTTATGTTCAAGGACACAGATCTCTTCAGGTAGAAAAAAAAAGTGTTGCAAATTCATTCCATTTGCAAATGTAAAAAATACTCTTTTCAAATCTCAAAAAGATTTCCCCTCAGAATTGTAGGGTAATTCATTCCTTTCAAATGAAAACATTAATGGGGCCATAATGAAAAGAACTCTGGTGGTGATGTGGGTAAAGCATTTGAATGCTAACTAAAATGTCAAAGACACAAAGATCTTCCTAAATTTACAAGGCTTCATTTCAAGGTTTAGGCTGAAATATATTATATATATAATAATTATTATCTGCAAGATTAGGTGGCCCAATCTCATCTAAGGATTAGGAGGGATATATGGAAAATGTCTGACAAGTAATAGACATTTGCTCAATTACAATTATTTCAATATTATGCTAGTAAGGAGCTCTGGTAGCGTAGTGGTTACGAATCGGGCTGCGAACCCTAAGGCCAGCAGTTCGAAACTACCAGCCGCTCCGCCGGAGAAAGATGAGGCGTTCTGCTCCCGTAAAGATTTACAGCCTCGGAAACCCTGTACAGGGTCGCTATGGGTCGGATCCGACTCGATGGCACTTAACAACAACAACAACAACAAGGTTGCCATCAAGTAGATTCTGGTTCCTGGAGACCCTATGTGTATCAGAACAGAGCTGTGCTCCATAGGGTTTCCAATGGCTCATTTTTCAGCATTAGATTGCCACACTTTTCTTCCGAGGCATCTCAAGGTGTACATGAACCTCCAACTTTTTGGTTAGCAGTCCAGCATGTTAACAGTTTACACTACCCAAGAACTCCATTTCCATACTATTATATATATAATTAGTAGTTATTTGTACCTGAACACATGACTACTAATATATACACATCACAATACAGGTATGCTGTGTCTGCTACTGATTTATCAGGGCACTGATAAAATTGGATCAGAAATAACTGATTTCTGGGCTATGTGTAGGGTCTCTATGAATTAGAACTGCCTCAGATGAAAGGCTGTTGTTGTTGTTGTTAAGTGCTGTGGAGTCAATTCCGACTCATAGCGACCCTGTACAGGGTTTCCGAGGCTGTAAATCCTTACAGGAGCAGAAAGCCTCATCTTTCTCCCGAGGAACAGCTGGTAGTTTTGAACTGCTGACTTTGTGGTTCACAGCCCGATTTGTAACCACTACGCTACCAGATGGAAGGTACTTCATAATAACAACATGCCATAAGGTAAGTGTTGTGATAAGCATGTGTGTTTGAGGTCCAGATTTGAATGTTGAATGTTGGCTCTGCTACTTATTAGTGAATTATTGAATTCTTCTGAGCTTGGTTTACACCTTGTATAAAATGGGAATAATGATTTACCTCCTTCAGAATTCAATGAAAATGAACCAAATTAATGAACATAAAGGGCTTAGAATAGGGTCTTACATAGTGTGGCCCTTAATAAATGTGTGTTTTTATTGTTGTGGATATTCCATGCTATGCATTGTATAAAAATGTTACATCTACATAAACTGTTTTATAATGGGAATATCCATAAAATAAAGCAGGCACCATGCCCACTTTTACTGAACTTACCATCTAAGCCACGGTACTTAACAACAACAACAACAACCATCTAATAGGAGAGCTAGACAGTTACATGCAAACACAATGCAGTGCGATGGATGTTATACTGAGTGGAGTAAAGAAATGAACACACGACACAAGAAGAGGGGGCAGATAAACTTCCTTAGCTTAGTTTTCTTAGTGAAAACCTGAAGAAAAATTGGAGGTGGACAAAATAAAGAAGGCTGGAAGAATTCTCCAGGCCAAGGTATAAGACACTGTAAGAAAGCACATATCATCACATTTAAAGACTAGGAAGAAATGTGGTCTCAAGGAATTACTAGGTTTTAAAGATGAGGGGACTGGTTCTACTTCAACAGAGAGAAGGCAAGAAGGCAAAGACACTTCTCAAGGCCTTTGTCATTCAAGTTTACACCTCCTTCATGACAATGAGAACCTACAAAGGGAGCTAACAAAACTTGGGTGAGTGTTTTGAAACCATGTCTTTTGTTCTAAAAGAAGACAAGACTGATAAGGAGACAAGTTAGGAAGTTTTTGCATAATAGAATAAATGGCCTAGATTAAATAACTAAGTGGATACAATTAAGTAATATCTATAAGATAAAATCAGTTTAGTCTTGGATATACAGAACTTAAAATAGAGTGGCTTGTTTCCTCAGACAGATTTAACTTATGCCTGTTGATTTAGTGTTATTGATAGGTCACCCTCTCAGAAATGTTCTAGGCAGAACATCCTGATTTGCGTGTCTTTTTAAGATCTCCACATGGAGAGGTCGATAGATAGTTGAATACGTGTTTCTGGTCCTCAAGAAGAAGAGCAAAGCTGGAGAGGAAGATTTGGAAATCATCAGCCAGAGAGGGTTATTGGAGCCACGTGAAAGGATGAGAGAGGGAGATTGTGCTGAGATGAGTAACCCTGTGCAACATCAAACTTTAAGGCATGAGCAATGAAAATGAGCTTTGAACCAGTTTGTATACTAACTGCAAACAATCCTCAATCTATATGAACCATTGCTCAAAGTTTGCTTCCAAGTACAGAGTCCACACCAAATGCTTTTCTGTTAGTCTAATTCTGAACCTATTTACTTTCTCATAAATCTGTGAAGAATCTCAGAAGAAACATGGCATGGTAAACTAGACTTTACTATTAGACAGATTGTAATCTCTTCCATGACAACTACTAGTCATATGACATTAAGCAAGCAATTTAATATGTCAACCTCAATTTTCTTACATTTTCAATGAAAATATTCTTCTTGAAGTTTGCTTGTAGTTTTAGATGGAATAATGAATTTAAAGTGCCTAAATCCTAAAAGATACTTTTAAAGTAATACTTATTATCACTACTAGAACTAGTATACTATTAGAGAAGAGCTTTAGGAATCCCTGGGTGGTGCAGATGGTTAACAGAAACTTTGGAGGTTTAAGTCCACTCAAGTTGTAAGAAAGGGCTGGTGGCTTACTACTGAGAAATCAGCCATTGAAAGCTCTGTGGAGCACAGCTCTTCACACATGGTGTCCCACAGTGTTCCAAAAAACACTCAGCCAAAGGGCCCACCAAGGCACATGAGCTCAAACAAGAAAAACCTACTTAGCTTATCCCAACACTACCTATCTTTATGAAGGAATCCTCATACTTGGTCGCTACCTTTCTTATCTCCCTTTGATTATTCTGACTCTTGTACACTCCTTCCCACTTATGTCTTGTGGCGCTGACTGTTGACAAATACTGTTGAGTCAATTCTGACTCATAGCAACAGATATAAAACAGAAAAAAATACTGCTGGGTCCTGTATCATCCTCACAACTGTTGTTGTGTTTGAGTCCATTGTTGAAGCCACTGTGTCAATCCATCTCATGAATGGTCTTCTTCTTCCTAACTGATTTTCTGCTTCACCAAGTGCGATGTGCTTCTCAGAGACTGACCCTTCCTGATAACGTTTCAAAGTGTATGAAATGATGTCTTGCCATACACACTTCTAAGAAGGATTTTGGTTGTACTGCTTCACAGATTTGTTATATCTTCTGGCAGTTCTTAATATTTGTAATATTCTTAGTCAACATCAGTTCTTTGGTTTTCCTTATTTATTGTCCAGCTTTCACATTCATGAGTGGCCATGTCTTGGAGTCAGGCACACTTTAGTTCTCAAAGTAAATCTTTACTCCTTAAAACTTTAAAGAGGTATTTTGCAGCAAGTTTTCCCTTTGCAATATGTCACTTAATTTTTTGATTGCTGCTCCCACGATTATTGGAGTCCTGGTGTGGCGTTGTGGGTTAATGCACCAGACTGCAAAGCTGTTGAACTGCAAGGTCGGCAGTTCAAGCTCACCAGCTGGTCCTCGGAAACCCTATACAGGGTCTTTATTTGTCAGAACCAACTCGACGGCACTTCACAGCAACAACAACAACTCATGATAATTAATCGTGGATTCAAGTAAAATGAAATCCTTAGCAGCTTCAATCTTTTCACTGTTTATCATGATATTACTTATTGGTCCAGTTTTGAGGATTTTAATTTTCTTTAAATTGAGGTGCAATCCATACTGAAGGCTGTGGTCTTTGATTTTTATCAATAAGTGTTTTAAGTCCTCTTTACTTCCAGCAGGCAAGGTTGTATCATCTGTATATCACAGGTTGTTAATGAGTCTTCCTCCAATCCTGATGCGACATTCTTCTTCATGTAATTCAGCTTCTTGGATTATTGGCCATGGTTATGCATCAGGCAGCAGTCGAATCTACCAGCTGTTCCACAGGAGAAAGATGGAGCTTTTTGCTCCCATAAAGATTTACAGCCTCGGAAGCTCTATACAGGATCACTATGAGTCGGAACCGACTCCAAGGCACATAACCACCACAATACAGATTGAATAAGGATGATTTGTGGATGTAACCTTGATGTATACCTTTCCTGATTTTAAATATCCAGTATCCATTTGTTCTTTTTTAACAGCTGCCTCTTGGTCCATTCCTCACAAGAACAATTAAGTGTTCTGGAATTCTTATTCTCTGCAATATTATTATAAAATTGAATGCTTTTGCATAGTCAACAAAACAACCTAAAACATCTTTCTGGTATTGTCTGCTTTTGTCAAATCTGTCTGACGTCAGCAATGATATCCCCCATTCCATGTCCTCTCTTGAATCTGGCTTGAATTTCTTGCAGCTCCCTGCCAACGTATTGTTGTAGCCATTTGTGACATCTTCAGCAAAATTTTACTTGCATGTTATATTGATGATATTA